GTCTTCGATCATGTTGATGGACGATGGACCGGCTATGTCCTTCACCTTCTTTCCCTCTTGATCTCAGATGGACTCCTCAATCCGAAGATGGGTTCCAAGTTGCACCAGATTCATTTCCTCCTTGTTATGATTTAACTCACGTTTGCATTCTTTCCATGAAGGAGGCAGTTTGTCTATAATACTATACACAGATATGGATTCATCCATTGCCATGTTATGCTGTGCAAATTGGCCCAGGATCCTCAACAGTTCATTGTATTGTTCCATGACCGGTCGAGAGTCAACCATCTTATAATTGTTAAAGTTACTGACGAGGAACTTCTTGCTCAAAGCGTCCTCGGCCATGTACTTTTCTTCTAGACCGTCCCACAGTAACTTTGCAGATTCAACATTTTGATATACATCAAACAGAGAGTCAGACATACCGTTTAGAATATGTCCTCGACAAATGTAGTCATCGTTCTCCCACTTGCACCGCTTCCTCGTCTGCTCCAGTGTTTCGTCATCCATGATCTGCGGCATAGGCGTGCTCAGTACATACACGACCTTCAATGTTGTGAGAAGGAAGTGCATCTTCTTCTGCCATCGACGGAAGTCCTGGCCTTCAAATTTTTCTAACTTCGAGAACTTGCTGCTCAAATCTCTTACGGAATCGCCACACGTCATCTTTGAGTTCTTTAGGAATAACTTTGATCTTTGTTGGATTTATCAGATGAAGAACATTGCGAAGCAGTGTTAAACGAAGAACTCGATAGAATAACGAATCGCGTACGAAACGCTTTCAGATCAAAGTTATTTCGGGGTATACGAAATACTTCAATCGGATAAGACGTTAATTCAGAACAAGCACTCGAGAATCTATTTTCAACCCATACCACGAGACTCTATTTTATAGAGTCGAAAATCCTTGTGATCGGACATGAACATTCGCGTAGATGTACGCGTACGTTCGCGCAAGAAGAAGAAAGGTGTGAGTTTGAACGAAAGGTCTCCTGCGGCCCGGCCAGGGGCTCTGCCCCTTGGACCCCGCTACCCGGGGGTTGCCGCCCCCGGACCCTGCAGTGAATTTATAATATCATTGAACGAGCGCGCACTCCGCGCCTCCTAACTCGTTTGACAACGTCTTTTTAAATTCTTGTCCGATCAAAGTAAATCCAATTACACAAAATAAATTGATGACACTAAAATCACCAACATATAGCTAGTGCTATTAAGTATTTTATCTATTCTAAAAAAAACTTCACTCTTTTCATTTTTGTTTTCCAAAAAAACGTATTCGATTTTCTTTTTAAACAAAAAAATGAGAGATTCATGCAACTATTCTCTATTGTAAATAAATTCAATTCTAACCATAATTTTGTTTAACTTTCTTAATATTGTTTATACTCTATATGCATATGATGCATATGAAACTCAAATGTATTTATTTATGTAGAGCGGAAGGAGTATTAAAAAAATGTATCAACTCCACTCCATGTTCTCCCGGACGGGTCGCGACAATAGCAATAATATATAGCGGTAGTAGGATCAGAGTAACGTTAAACTTCAACCTGAGACGATTCGTCATTCGTCAATAGTGAGTGAGTTTTAATCGTGCCATTTTTTTCATTGGCGTTATCAAAAATTGAATCTCGAATTATTTCTTGTTGTATCGGTTTTACCAACTAAAAGGATAAGCCACATCCCCGAAGGTCTCCACTCATACTTGGTCAGAAACGGTCATCGAGAAAAGATAAATTAAACGTTTGTCGCAGATTGGTGACAAAGAGTATATTCTGTAGTCTGTGCGCAGTAGTTGCAGAAGCCTTATGTTTTACACAATCGCCTCACAGCGCAGTTGTTAGAAATCGAACTCAAATATTACGCCGAACGGCATTTGACCCACTAATAAAGGTTGAGTGGGTGAAGAGGTAGAGAGAAGCAAAAGGAATGAATTAATGAGAAAATTAATGTAGAGTTAGATCCTCTCCATTCTCTCAAGTGTTTGGCGTTTTACACTAAAATGGAAGTATAATTTGACAACACATTGACACTCCAGCTACTGGCTACGAAAGGTACGTCTTGTGTATAGTAGACATTGCATGCCTAAATATTAATATTTCTAAACAGTGTTTTTAATTATTGCAAGCCCTATATATTCAGCCATGCATCAATTTCATCTGCGTTTACCAATTCCCCATAACTCCCTCAATTTGCCAATTAGATGGAAAAGAGAGTTCCCAGAGATTAGGTTAATTAGATGACAAGGAAACTATGCAAATCATGGTTTGACTTAATTTTGATCAATCCCTCCGTCCCTAAAAGATTGATAGATCTGACATTTTTATCAAACTGTAGCACTTTTTTATCAAGAATTATGGAAAAAAAATTTAATTATACTGCAAATTTAGTAAAATTATGTTTGTTCTAAAATATGGTTAAGAAATACTCCGTATCAAATTTATATAATACTCCCTCCGTCCCATAAAGTGTTACTCATTTTGACTAAAGTTGAAATTAAGGGAGGGATAATTTTGTGTTGACTTTCCAAAAATACCCTTGATGTGATGGGTAAAAGTAGGATGTGATGTGTAGATTATTAGAAAAAAGGTATGATGTGATAGGTAGGATTTGAAAAAGTAAGGGGTAAAAGTGGTTTTTTAATAGAAATGGGTAAGGGATTGTGGGACACAATTTTTTTAAAACGTGTAAATCTTTTTGGGACGGAGGGAGTATTTAATTATTTAAAAGTATACTTAATTTGTGGTCAAAAGGCCATGTGCCACATGAGCAATCCACTCTCAAGATAAAATCGCTAACGCACAAGATCTAGAGCGGTAGAACCTTGTGCCGGCGAACAAGAACGACGACGAGTTACCTGCCAGAAACTGATCGGGAATGTGAGAGAGAGAGAGAGTTGGACACAAAGAAGGATTTCGAGATTTTTTTGGTGTGTGGTCTCTGCAGTAGTGCTCCCTTTAAATAGAGGCGAGCATGGACGAACAGACGGCGGCGGCGCGCGTGGGCTCCCTTGGTTCTCCCTCCATAAATTGCTTTTACAATATTGTTAAAGACTAGCATATAAATGGAGCAAGTTGGAGAGTTTCAAATTTGATATGGGATACGTGGGTTTTTCCTCTTCCAAGTGAGCGACTTATTGAATTCATTTCTCATTCCCCCAAGCACCAATTTTGGCGCACAATATATCGAAATACTCGTCTCGCTTAGAATAATATTCGTCCATAATTATTTTGGAAAAATAATTATTTGGACCCTACCAAATTTACATCCAAAGTTGTCCCGTTACATGTTAAAATTTCAACATTTATTGCTCTTGTTTTATAAAACGGTTCCTATTTTGACTTTTAAGAGAAAATAAGTAGTGTATATTTCTGGTTGACTTTTCAATTTTACCATTGATGTGATAGGTAAAGTAAGATATGATAGATAGATTATTACTGAAAAAGTATGATGTCATAGTTATGGTCAGAAAAAGTAGGGGTAAGAATGTTTTTTTAAAGAAAGTGTTTTGAGGAAAAACAAAAAAAATGAAAGATGAAGTATTTTAAAAAATGGAGGGAGCATGAAACGACGGAAGTATGGTTTTAGTTCTGGTTATTAATTAAATATTATTGCCAAAAATAGCCCCAAATTTGACTTTGCTCATTCAGAGGTAAAAATCAAAAGTATTCTGGTCGTCCAAAATCTACTCCAATTTTACCGAGGTTTGCGTAATGACAGAGACTATATATATCGAGTTTTAGAACGATAAGTTTGAGTTTTTTACTTTCTTTAGCGGGTCGGGGAGGGAGTATAATAAATCAATAGGGGGGCATTGAGCAAGGTAACATACATTTCAAACCCAACATGCATGATGCACCCACATACTACTATACAAATCAAGCCCTAGCTAGCTATCCAAAACTAACCTTTCATAAATATGAAAAAAGGATGGGTCCCATCCCTCAAGAGCCCATTCGAATTCGATCCAACACCACAGAAACAAAGTAAATTGGACTTTATTATATTACAGATTGATCACAAAGAATAGAGCCTGCATTTCAGAAACTCTATGCTTAGTCTAGTTAATTGTCTCCCAACTCATTTGTAAATAATCGAATTCAACTTTTATCTCATTGACACATTTTACCTTTGCCAACTGTACAACTCCCGTCATCATAAATACGAGTATATATATGGTTGAAGGAAGGAATAGGAATAGGAATAGGAATGGGAAGGTGCATAAATATAAATGAAGAGGGCGTAGAAACAGTGTAAATGTACTACTTTGAGACAAGACATTTCACGAACTTCCTTCTCCCCCCATTTTGACATCATTGTTTTTGTGTGTTATGCTATGCTCCCCATACATTTGTCATTGTCACAACTGTTTTTCTGTCAACACAATATTTATTATTACTGGTCCTTTTTTTATTTTTTTTTATAATTACTCCCTTCGTTCTACAAAACCCTTCCGGTTTTGACTTTGGAGAAAAATAAGGAAAATGTAATTTTGGCTGACTTTCCAATTTTGCCCCTGATGCGATGGGAAAAAGTAAGATGTGATAGTTTGGTTATTAGTGAAAGAGTATGATGTGATAGGTAGGGTATGAAAAAGTAGGGGTAAAAGTGGTTTTTTAATAGAAAGTGGAAGTATTTTGTGAAAAGCAAAAAAAACAAAAGAGGAAGGGTTTTGTGGGAGGGAGGGGGTATTATTATTGGTCCAGTTGAATGAATGAATGAATTGCATGGAAACTCATCTCTTCTCATTCATATCCCCCCACTGAACCTTATAGCTTTCTTTCATTCATTCATTCTTTTCGTTTCATTATAAATTCTGGTTTCCCGCCGATCAGATCAGATAGATGGATGGATCGAGCTCATTATTGTACGCTGCGTGCTCGCTTTTACCAATACAATATGTACTACTGAAGAAAATAATAAGAGGGAAAATATTCTGTATATTGAATTGTTCTGCTAAGTACAAGGAGTTTCTCCTTTATTTATAGGAGAGGATAAAGACCAAAACACAAAAGGAATTCTATTCCTACAAGGAAACAAATCACTAAATATGAACAAGGAAACAAATCAAGAGCAATCCCACTTAGAATGGGATTTGCTCTCCTTCTTGCCGTGTGGTCCAAGGAGCACCGCCCAACA